CCCAGGCCCCGCCCAGGCCCCGCCCCCGCGCGGCTACACCGTGGGGCGACCACGAGCCCCGAGCGCTTCACCCTGCGCGCCACAGCGAGGCGGCGGCCGCTTTCCCTGCCCTCTCCAGTCGGGACTCTATAGTCAGCCCGCCGCGGCCGTCTGCCAGTCTTCGCCCTCCCTATCGCGGCCCTACCGCAGCCCTTGTAAGTGTTCCAGTCTGCGGCCGCGCGGAGGGGCGGCCTGGGCGTGGGGGGGGGCGCTGCTCTCCGCAGGCTTCGGGCCTGGGCGTGGGGCGGGGGGCGCTGCTCTCCGCAGGCTTCCCAGGCCTGGGCGTGGGGGGGGATGGAGTGAGGCTGTCCCTGGGCCTCCACTCCCCTCCCGGGACCGCAGTTCACCCAGAGCTGGAACGCAGCACTGAGTCCCGGCCCTCACTAGCCGAGAGGCCCAGGCCATGCTGGCCTGCCCAAGGAAGCCCTGAATTCCCGAGCCCTCTCTCCAAGAGGAGAAGCTGCATACAATATAGGCTCCTGGCTCTCAGTGTTTGGCTCATGGGGCAGCCATTTGGCCATTTGCACAATGGGGCAGCGAAGACCGGGTTGCAGGGTCCCGTGTGTACTCCATGCTAAGCTGTGCACCCCCCTAAATCGGCCTCACGGACCTTCTTCAGTGGTTTTGGGGTTGCTGAGAGGAGACTGGACACAGCCCCCTGAACTTTACCACTCAAGCCACACTGCTACCCCATGGCTCCAGTTACAAAAGATGAAGAGCCATGAAAATACTGAGCTCTCCAGTCAGGTAGGGCAGTGCACACCCATAATCCCTGTGCCTGGAGGGCTGAGGCCAGCCTGAACTACCGAGACTCTGTCTCAAAAAGAAAACCAGAAGGGAACGAAGAAGGGGCATGCGTTCTGAGGAGACACTCTCATCCAGGACTCTCAGAGAATAATGAGTGCTGGACGCGGAGAGACCGCAGATGAGCAAGGAACATTATCTCAGCAGCTTCGGCTTCCCGCTCGCAAGATTGCGTGTGGGTGGGAGGAGGGAAGCGCTTGGCTCGGGGAGGCTGGAAGCAAACGAGCCTGCGATTTCCACATTCCCATCTTTCATTCACACCCATTCCATTCTCACGCACTTCCAAAGAGGGCTTCGGAGTGGGGCTACCGCGGACCACCAGGAATTGCACCATTTTTGAGTTCTACTCAGCACTGACTGCCAAACATGGCTCCTTTCAAAGCAAAAGCAGCACGAGCAACAATAAAGAACAAAATGGGAAGAAGAAAAAAGACGAACAGCCGGGGAACATACAGGGACTATATAAATAATTCTGCCATCTACCCGGCTGCGTCTGAGAGCCCTCAGCTGCCAGGATTAAAAGCAACAGAGCCCCCGGCAGCCTGGCGCGGCAGCAGGACAGACTTCGCTTCCGGCTCCGGATGAGAATCGGGGGTTTGGCTTTTTGTTTTTTCTCTTTTTTCACACACCACCTCCAAGCGGGGCCATTTGGGCCAGCAGAATAGCTGGCTAAATTTAAGTTAAAAATTGGCAGGGCTGGATTCTTGCAAAGCGTCAGCAAGGCTTCAGGAGCCAGTGTGTGAACGCATGGTCTCCCGCGGCGGGGAGTCAGGATGGAGTCACAGCTCCCACAGGTGACCGTGTTCCTCCTGACACCGGAGAGACGCATGACACGGACCCACGGTTAGACTTGGGACAGTCCTCAGCGGGTAACGGTCTGCAGACACACACACACACACACACACACACACACACACACACACGGCAGCAGCTGTCCCTTGGGGCGTGGGTGTTTTGGGGTGGGGTGATGACTGTGGTCGGACCAGATCAGAGCAAGGCTCTCTGATTGGCGTTAGATCCACGAGCCCCACAGGACTGATGAGGACTGCGGGCCCTCAAGCAGGAGCCCTGGCTCGGTCCTCTGCAGGGCAGGCCAGCCCAGACAGAGAGTGAGCCCCTACATTCACAATAACCCACACGAAAGCATCCGGTGGTGGGGCACCTGCCCGGCGGGCGCCGGGACCAGAGCTCCTTGGCCCATGCCGCCAAAACACACACAAACACTTGGGCGAGGTCACTGCTCCCTTGACGGCACCGAGGGGCAGCCGCTCTGCGCTCAGGGAGGGAAGAGCAGACACCCAGCCAGTGCCAGGCCCACTGCTCAGAGGAGAGGCTGAGTCTCACAGAAGAGGGTGCCGAGCAAGGCCGGCTTCCGGGAGAGCTGAAGTGTGCACAGCCCTGTGCTCCTGCACGGAGACAGGACAGGAGCCAACCAGACACTGAATCCCTGGGCCAGCAGCAGGATCGGTGGGGGAATGGGGGGTGGGCTACATGGTGGAGGGGGGCAACAAGAAGCATCCACAGGGGGGCTTGGACGTCTGTGATCAGTCTCATCCACAGGGGGCTTGGACGTCTGTGATCACGATTCACAGCCCCTTCTCACCCAGTCTCACTTTCTGCCACGCCCCAGATGCGTGCTGACAGGAGGTGCTCAATAATCAATTGCCTGGCGAGTGGATCCCACGAGAAGCTGGCAAGGCAGAGCGTGGCTGTGGCTGGTGAGAGCCACCGCACTGTCCAGGGCTTGAGTCACCTGCGCCTCCCCGTTTGTGGCTTGAAGTCAGGGCCTTGCACCTGCTCGGTGGGCACTCCACCACTTAAGCCCTGCTTTTGGATGGTTAATTGGAGGTGGAGTCTCACTGACTTCTCTGCCCAGGCCTCTCCAGACCTCAGACTCCTGGGCAGCTGGCATTACCGGTGTGAGCCGCTAGCGTCTGGCTCTTCCTGTGCTCTTCAGTGCTAGCCTCACATGATCCCCCTGCTTCTCCCACCAAACCCCAGACGGGCTGAGCTGAGCGGCCAGGGCAGGCACCCCTGCACAAGGCACTGGCCACGGGCAGCACACGTTGGAGAATAAGAACTTGGCTTGGGGTGGGAGACTGTCCCCTAAAACAGGCGAAACGCAGCTCAGATGTGGGCAAGACCCTAGGAAGACAAAAACAAGCGAACCTGGCAGCCCTGTGATAGTTCATCACGGTTCTCTTCCCCTGCGCCCCCTCCCTTGGATGGAGCTTAGCATGTTCAAAACAAAATGAAGAGCCAGGGTCAGAGGGGGAGAGGGAATTGTGTGATGTCCTGGAGAGGTAGCAGGCGCTGGACGATGGCGCTGGCGCAGATGCTTAGTACCCACCGCGCCGGCTCCAGAGAAATGCGGCCTGCCACCCTTACTGAGCAATATTTGTATTTCTGCAGATTTTGTATCTGCCTGCGAAGGACGCGGCCTGGGGACCTGGCTTCCACGCTGAGGTGTACAATGCCTGTTCCTCCCCGGCCCGGCCCAGCCACCGGAAGAAGGCCCTCAGCCTGGGCGGGAGAAGAGTGCTATTTCTGCCCGCAACGCAGCGGAACGCCTTCTAGATAAGGTGACTGCTGCCCGCTGTGCCGGCCAACCTGTTCTGACAGGTCGTGGAGCGCCGTCCGTCCCCATCAACCCTGGCTTAATGAAATCTGTCCTTAACGCAAGATCTTGGCAAATGACGAGAGACAGCGTCTCTCGTATCAGAGCGTCTGCCTGCCGCCTCTCACTAATAAACTCTGGCAGGGGGAGCGGAGATTCCTACCGCCAGCCAGGCCGCATCTGCAAGCGAGCGCTTCGTGGTCAGACGGAAGACCTGGCAAGGCAGGGGTGTGGACAGAAGGCTCCACGGAGCGCAGAGAGGGCTCCTGCTGTCTGCCGGCCAGCGTTGGACCAGTGGCGACAGACCCTGCACCGCGGCCCAGCCCAAAGCCCTCGGCCACCCCAGTAGGTGCTCTCTGCCCGGACGGGAGGAGGAAGGGCAGGGAGCAGGGGCAGGGACTCGGGTCTGCGTTCCCTGGGGCTCCCAGCCTTGTTTCCCTGTCATTAAACAGTGGACAAAGCTGGTGATGACGCTGGGATGAACTTCCCAACCCACACAGGACACTGCCTGGACCACAGCCCTGCTTCCCTCCCCTCTGCCCTCTCCCCTCCTTCCTCCCCTCATCTTCATTTCCCTCCCCCCCCCTCTCTCTCTCATGGAACATGCTACAAGTGTTGCTCACCAAGTTGATTTACTTAAAGACACATCATATAAGCTGGGCACAGGTGGCTCACGCCTGTCATCCTAGCTACTCAGGAGGCTGAGATCTGAGGATCATGGTTCAAAGCCAGCCTGAGCAGGAAATTCCATGAGACTCTTATCTCTAATAAACCATCAAAAAGCTGGAAGTGGAGCTGTGGGTCAAGGGGCAGAGTGCTCACCTAGGCCCTGAGTTCAAGCCCCAGGATTGGCACAAAACAAAACAAAACACACCCACCATGTAAAAAGCCTCACACTAGCAGTGTGTGGATGCCCCTCAGACACACAGACGTGGCCCTTCTGTGGGCGTTCGATCGAATTCACTCACACAGCACCAAGAGGAAAGTCCTGGCCTGGCCCCTGCCGTTCCCACAGGCAGCCCAGGCCGGGGTCAGGTCTGGGGGGCCGAAGCCAGGCACGGCGGCTCACGGTGACCTTTCCCTACGATGTCCCAGCCTCCCTTGCGAGGTCCCTTGCAAGCCCAAGTCCCTGAGAGAAGCCACCGCCGCCTCTGCCTGGAGGAGAGGAAGGGCAGAGTGGCCTGGGCCCCCCAGACTCTCTCTCTCCCCTGTCTCTCTCCCTTCCCCCACCCCCACTTAGGTGCACTCACAGACACCCACACACGTTCGCACATGCCCACACGCAGGCTGCGGGCCTGCACGACACGCACCGGCACGCCATCCCAGCCCCCACTCCACGCAGCGTGCGTGTGCCCACGCCCGCCGGCCGCCACCGCCCACCTCACCTTCTGCAGAAGCTCGATTTCCCGCTGCTTGGCGTTGAGAACGGCCAGGGCTTGCTCATGCTCCAACTCCAGCTGCTGCCGCCGCTCCGCAGCCTCACGCATATGCTGTGGAGAGAGCGAGCCCTGAGCGCCTCCCTCCGCGCCCACCGCCAGCCGCTCGGTGCCCGCACCCAGGACGCGTGCA